ACAATATAATATTACTACTTTATACCAATTGTGGGTCTTACCTTGTCTGTTAATACCTTTTATATATTCAAATTTATTCATTTTGAAAACCACAGACATGTAATATTGGCATAATTACTATAATTTGTATGAACTAACTTATTTGTTTATTTTATCTTTATTAGACACCACCCTAATTGGGTTTATTTTATTGCAGCATTAGTTTAACTTTGTATCTAGACCTGAAGATGCTTTGCAAATTGTAGAAAGCGAAACCGGTCGTCTGATTGTTAAATTAAATTGATTGCGAGTAAGTCTTATTATTATTTCTTTACCTATTTAACAACAAACAATTTATAGATATAAATAAAAAGTGGTATAATATAAAAAACACATTACTGAAACCAGTTTAAGAAAGTTTAATAGAACGTAGGTCAGAGCTAAAAAACACTGGATGATAGAAGAAATACTATTACTGATGGAAGAAAGAAGGAAATATAAAGGAAAAGATCTACAGATGTATAAAGAAATACAACGAATAATTAAGGAAAAAATCAAAACAGCTAAGGAAATCTATTTGATGAAGCAATGTAAAGAGATAGAAGAACTAAAAACAAAATATGATATGAGAAATATGCACAAAAAAATTAGAGAAGTGACTGGAATGGGTCGAAATAGACAGCAAGGACACATAAAAGACAAAAAATGAGTACTACTAGTAAATTTACCAGAAAAGTTAAGGCGATGGGAGGAGTACGTTCTTCTTCTTCTTCTTCTGGTTCCTATCCGTTTCGGATGTTGGAAATCATATTGGCAATCATAACCTTGCTCGCTACGGCTCGAAACAGCTCCGTTGAGGTTTTCTTAAACCATGTTCTTAAATTCCGCAGCCATGATATTCTCCTTCTACCGGGTCCTCGCTTACCTTTGACTTTACCTTGCAATATAGACTGTAGGAGTACGTTAGAAGACTTTTTCAAGATGAATGAGGTGAAATGTAGAAAATACAAGAATTAAATCCTTTAGAGAGACAGAAGATCACGATAGATGAAATCTATTATGCTATCAAAAACTCTAAAGACAATAAGGCAGCTATAAAAACTAATATCAATACTTATGAACAAGCGCATTGCCAGTAAAATCATAAATATAGTGCAAACATTATATTGGAACCAAAGTGCCATAGTTCAAATTTATGGGCAACACTCAGAAGAAATGAGGATCTGTAGAGGAGTTAGACAGGGATGTGTTTTGTCGCCACTTTGTTTAACTTATATTCTGAAGAAATTTTTCAAAACACGCTCAATAATATCGAAGCGGGAGTAACCGTTACCGGAAAATTAATTAACAACCTAAGATATGCAGACGACACTGTGATCATAGCAACGAGTATAGAGGATCTACAACATCTTATCGAAAGTTTGAGTATGAATAGTGTTGTGATGGGAATTACTATAAACGCTAAAAAAAGTACATGCTAATTACAAAAAGACCTTAAAATATGCATCACCTATTGACAATCAATGGTAACGTAATAGAACAAATAGAAAAACATCAGTATTTGGGAACTTTGATCAATGAAATCAATGATCATACTGTAGAAATAAACAGGCGAATAGAGATTGCAAGATCAGAATTTATACGAATGAAGCCACCCCTAACGTGCAAAAATCTAAATGTGGAGATCAGACTACGTACCATTCGTTGTTATATATTTTCAATATTATTATATTTAGCTGAGACTTGGACATTAAAAAAATGTAATTTAAAAAGAGTCGAGGCCTTCGAACTCTGGTTATACCGCAGAGTATTGAAAATATCATGGACTGATAGAATTAGAAATAAAGAAGTAGTGCAGAGGAAAAAGATTCAATACAGGGAAAGATTCAAGGAAGAAGATCTGTTGGCCGAAAGCAGAACTCATGGTTACAGAATCTACGTGATTGGTATCAATGCAGATCGATTTATTTGTTTAAGCAGCAAGTTCTAAAATAAAAATAGCCATTATGATTGCCAACCTCCGTAGGGAAATGGCACTCTAAGAAGAAGCATATTATAAGAAAATGGACAAATTTTCCTCAAGTGGACATTAAAAATAATATTTTGACCATAAAAGATAGAAGTAGAATTTCCTCTTTTCTCTAATTCAATCTCTACTCTACTTGTGATAATTATGTCTCTTTGTTTTCTATTACCATTGGTGAACTATTCTCAGCAACTCTTTCAATATTTTCTGTAAATATTTCTACTTGAAATGGTCACACACACAATTAGTGCCCCATTCACTCAATTTCCTATATATAACTACCAGATATTCTCTGGTAATCACTAGGTAAGTAAATATTTGGAAAAAAGGTATTTTTTGTCAGTTTTGAATGTCTACTTGTAGATTAAAAGTCAACAATCAAAATTTCATTTTAAAAAACTATTGAAAATAAATATTTGTTTTACATTGAACATTGGAGAGTGTTAACATTAATTGCAACGTAAAAGCATTAACATACAATTGGTTGATTAATAAATCAAAATAAATTTCAATATAATTTTCCAAAACACTATCTAATTTTCATTTATGTTTTGTTGTAAAACAATGTTAAACACAAAATGACGGTCACAATCAGTTTAGGAAAATGAATAGATTTAAAGTGCGATAGTGGAGCCACAGTATAAAGAGGTTCCATAAAGAGGAACCTCTTTATACTGTGGTGGAGCTATGACTTTTACAATGTAATTAGGGCGAACGAAAAATAAGGAAACACATAAACATACGGGTCAGTAGTAACCAAGTGACTATGCTGAATTATGTTTTTTTTTTAATTTATAAAACAATAGTAGCTTTAAACATCTGGCTCATTAGTGACCTTAGTTATTACTAGGGAGCGGATTTATATCTGATCAATCTTGATCTCTTGAAAATTTGTTCTATTCTATATGGTTATTGTACATGTAATTAAAAAAAATATATAAAAAAAACTTATGTAAAAAATAAATATTTGCCGAGAACTAATAAGATCATAAGATCACACTTCCAATAGTATAATATTAATTTAATTTAATTTTAACTTTAAGTAACATTATTAAAGTGATTATAAAAGTTTGCTATAGTAATATTATAAAAGGTGTAATGCAGTTACCACTTTATTGGTTGTATGTACGAACCATTAAATGAAAGAAACAAATGCTTAGAAACACCGTTTTACCTTTAGAGAATGGCTCGAAGAAAAAAAAAAACAAACAAGTAAGGTCGATCCCTACATACCATAATTCAATATTATGATGAATACGATCAAGTTTGTAGTAAGTAGTTTTTCATTAGTTGAATGAATTATGTGTCATTTTCTATAAAACTTACAGATTTAGATTCTGTATGACAGTCATTAATTTTTCTTGTCTGTCTTGACTTTTAGTCCCGATTAATCACCTTCCTTGGTTAGTGTTCACTACTTTTTGTTGTAAGTATTCAACCCTTTCAGCTATAATTACTGAGTTGTTGTCGTATTTTAAGTTGTTTACATATATTTCTTCGACTTTACCGTCCTGCTCCATATTCTTCGGACTTATTCGAACTTCGGACTTAAGCTCGGTTGAGAAAGGAAGAAGACACGTCCTCTACGCAACACTGGTCTGATGTGGGGCGGTAGAGCAAATAGCCTACAGGAGGCTAATGACAGGAGTGAACAGTTGCGAGTAGCAGGCTCCTACAGGACTGTGTCTGCGGCAGCCTTGTGATCCATCGCTGGATGTGTTAGGCTGCATGTGTTGACAGTAAAAAGAAACGTGCTATGTGAGGGAAGACACCTAGACTCTACTGTCGCCGAGAGAAGACAGGAAAGGGAAAGGTCAATTGAAAGATGGAAAGAAAAATGCAGCAATACGGAGAATATGGCAGAGTGAACAAAGATGCTGATTCCGAAGATGAAAGGTTAAGTGGACTGTGATCACAAGCGACTGGATTATTTTCTAAGGCAGAGAGACATGTGTGAATTTTGCTACATTGGAAGAAATGATTGAGAGAATGCTTAAAAATAAAGCAGGTTGGAGTAGTGTATACAACTATATCCAACCAGTGATCAAGAAGATATATGAGAAAGAAAGACAGCTAACCAATGGCATGGCATAAGTAAGAAGGAATGATGCTGTAAATTGACTATGAAGATATATGACTATCAAGATAGACTTCGGACTTGTTCAGTAAATCAACTATTTGATTAATTTGTTTACTAGTTGCATATTTTTCATGAATAAACCATACTAATTGTAGATAAAATAACATAATTTGCATCTTGCAGTTGATTGGTATGAAAACATCAAGAATATGTAATTTTTAACTATATAACTACAATAGTTGCAATGTTTTCCAAGAAAAATATAACAATCAATGGTAATTTCATAATTATACATATTATATTGTTCTAAAGCTGTTTTCTTGTGGCATTTTAAAGTAATTGCTATTTAAATGGGAATCATGCACGACCAAATACTTACCATGTCGGGATAGTATTATGAGGTTTTTTCCTCATAATTTACTATGGAATCACTTTTACTGTCATCATGGCAAGTGTTTGTCTTTTTAGAGACAAATTACATGCTACGATTTTTTCTTACGGATATTCTCAAGTTAAAGTTGACTTCATGTAGTCGAATGAACTATCTTATAAGTAAAGTCGTCCCAGGAGCGCAACTCAACAATATTGGCAATATCATTTTAAAGTTGTCTACTTTAAAATGTATAATATAAATGAGTCAGATAAAATTAAATTGTTAGAAGAATTTTTCACTAAGTAACAAAAAAAAACAAATTTGTTTAATTTACTAATGTTTGTATTTTGAGAACGATTTCCGAAGTGGAAATTGAAACCTCAATAAACGTATTTTAACCTTTAATTGTGGCTTATTCCCATTTAAATAGCAATTATACATATTATAGTTAAACACTGTTACTGATCTGTATACAATAAAATTGGGTCCATATATAGCTAATTGTATACAACAAGTTTATTAAACAATATTAACTGTTTTAGATACTACATTGCCCTCTACCTGATTGTCACCCTTCTGTTGCCAATCAACGCTCCTGTGGAATATTGGGAAGAAGGGCTTTACAGTTCTGTATTTGTTCTAGGATTTTTACGAGGTTTTATTAACCTAAACTTAGCCTGGTTAATCAACAGTGCCATAAGAATTTGGGGATTAAAAAAAGGAGAAAAGTAAGTATATTTGTTAAAAGACAAGATCCCACCAGGAAAAATTGTGAAAAACTAAATAAAAAAGGAAAAAATAAAAAAATTAGATTTACACTTACAGATTTAGCATTTTTCTGATATCAGTGGTCACTTTGGTTTTTTAAATACAGCAACCTCTATATTGTATCTTTATTGAAATCTCCACTTCAATAAAAGTTCAGTTTTTAATAATAACAATTCTTCCGATTTTATGTGGTAGGTAACATCTTAAAAAGATAAAACAAAAACCTAGAAACGTCTAATCAAGTGTTAAATGTTACAAATTTTTTTCACTTTTTGTTTAATGTCACATATCAGCTCAATGTCTTATTGTTTAACTCAATGATATTAGGCCCTCTATAAGCTGACTTTATTAAGAAAAAAAAAATACGCAAAAATACAAAAAAAAAATGAAAATACAAATAGATACGAAAACCAAAGCTAGATCAATCAACAGAGTAGTTCGCCAGGGAGATGTTATCTCACCAAAGCTATTCACACTTGGACTGGAAGACGTGTTCAAAGACATTATCTGGGCAGATAAAGGAATAAAGTAAATGGAGGAAAACTGAATCATTTGAGATACGCTGATGACATTCTATTATTCGCTACAAGTTTCAAAGAACTACAGACCATGATGATGCAAATATTTCAAGCTTCGGAAAAATTAGGTCTTAAGATGAACTTGAAAAAATCAAAAATAATGACAAATATACCAAACAGTAGAGAAATAACGTTAAACGACATAAATTTAGAAACAGTAAGCTATACATCTACCTGGGACAAATAATGAAAGTTAACAAAGAAAATCAAACTGCCGAAATTACCAGAATAACGTGAAGGAAGTTTTATTAAGGAATGTACACTGCATTTTATTTTTTGAAAAAAAAAAAACGCAAAAATACAAAAAAAAAGACTACACTATAATTCACGGCCTAACTTTCGCGTGATTGGTTGGTGGGTGGGTCCCAATTTATAAATTGGCGGGTTTCACGTTTATTAAAATGACAATTAAGGTATTGTGGCACATTATATCACTTAAGAATTTATTAGCAATATATTATGGTATTGGTACAAAGCGGATGATATTCACATTATAGGATTAAGCTGGCTATTACAGTAATATATTATAAGTTAAAAATTTAAATTAAAAATTATTTTTCCTTTGAGATTATGTAGGTAAAATTAAATTATGACTTAATTATTTTATTTTGATATGCTAGTGATGTTTTTTTTTATTAGATATATAGATATTGTTTAATTTTTTTTGATTAGGTAATTTTTTATTAAGATTTAGAGGTTCCTCTTATTATTTTTATTTCTAGAACATTCATTAACATTATTCTTTTCATTAGCTTTCTCTATGTGGAATCGATGTCTCTAAGTATTTTCCTCTAAACTTTTCTGTTCTCTTCCAGGGACTAAGTACCGCTCCGCTTTTTGTATGAGATTATGGTTTTTCAGAAACATGCAATTTCCGTTCATCCCCTTTTTTATTGCTCTACATTCAGTACCATACATCATAGCTTGTCTACAGGCCTATACAACTTACCTTTTATTTTTCTTGGTACCTTTTTTATCACACATCACTCAATTTGCCACTTTTCTTAACCTTTAATTAAAATATTATAGATATAACGGTAATAACGATCCTAAAAGCCGAACATTATCATATTTTATGAGTTCTTGTCTATCCAAGCCTATCCAATTTCATCTTTAAAAGAATATTCTAAATATTTTGTTTGTATCCAACCTAATTTTAATCATTTTTTTTCAAGGACCTGTCTTCACTACTCTAGTCTTTTCTACTAATATCCAGGAGGTTCAGTTGTTATCTAATCCATTACAAATCAGAATAAATATGGGCGAAACCCTGATGAAGCTCTATTTTCACACTGCAGGTGATTACAGGTGAAACTGGCAAATTTGCCAGTTTCAACTGTACTCTTTCTAAGACTATAATAGTTGTTCTACTATAGAAGTTCTAACACTGTTATAGTTGTTACTTGTTCATACTCCTCTCACATATTCAGCCGGCACTCCTTTCATACTTAATCTCTGCCACAGTAGGTTTCTGATAACTTCATCATGTGCTTTCTCAAGTTTAATAATACTATGTGCAAGTCTATCTCTTTCACTCTAAATTGTTAAATTAGCTGTCTTTTAATAAAAATTGCTGTTGTAGACCTGCCTTTCCTAAATCCAAATTGACGTTTATCCGTTTTCATTTTTTAGAACCTTACACTGAATTCTGTTAGATTTCACCACACATGTAGGATAATAAAAAGATATATTGTGAATTGAGTGCTATGAAAAATTGTCATTGTCAACAAAATGAAGCAGGGGTTTATTGGAAATAACTATTGCAAACCAAATGCTATGTTTAAAATGTCTTTTTCTTTATTAAAAATCTGGGAAATCACAGAAGGACACGGGGGGGGGCGTTATTGGTGCAATGGCGAAAGAAAACCCCTCTAAACTTTGCCTAGGGCCCAGTACATCCCGATTTACAATTACAATTCTAATATAAAAGTCTAAAAGTAGCTTTATAATATCATTACTTAACACAGCTTTAAAATTTTAAAATTCAGGCCAAACTAAGCATTTATACATATATTTTATGAAATTTTACTTCATATATTACTAATCAAGTAAACATATAATTTCTTTGCTTCTTGAACGTCTCTCATAAATCTGTCATGTAATTGTGTATAACTTTCATCATCTAATTCATCTAAGCTGTTTATGACATTTTTGAAGTTTTCATTTTGAAGACAACGTCTGGTGTTTTCCTGGATCACATTTGTCTGTTCTACCTTTCCTCTGACAAACTTAGTAACTTCCTCCTGATGCCTTGATTTGATAATTGAAGTTTCTGCCAAACACCTTGACAGCATCATCTAAAACAGAGTTAGTTCCCTCGCGCTCCTCATGCATTCTTACCAAGTGAACATGCTTACACAAGGTATTCCTCACCGCATATTCGGCACACTAACACACTTGTAGCAATGAATACAAATTTTACATATTCTAAAATACAATGTCTTACATTTATTTTCACATAATTGCCTTATATTTACATTATATAATTAATTAGGATCTCTAAATGACTTTACCTGAAAATGACCATATACCTTCTCATTTCTCTTAACCACCACTTCGTTTTTCATCGTTTTTGCCATTTTGTGTGCTTTTGCTATAACTCCATCTATAACCCCATCTTGGTAATTGTTCGCACATGGTCTTTCCATGTCTATAATTCCCTTCCACATTTTGATGTCCACTAGATCGTCTATTGTGTCCAATAACTTTTCGATTGATACTGCAGTATTTTTCATAAAGTGGTTGGTCTTCAGTAGGTTGTTGAAAGATTAAATCGCTATTTTGTATTGATTTCTGAATTTCTTCTGTAACAATGAGCCCACATTTTGATTCTCTCTTCATTCTGAAAGTAGTACCTACAAAAAAGTATACTTAAGGATGACTTAAAATGTATGATTTCATATATTTATTTATCCTACCAGATAATAATTCAAAAAATCTATCTCATTTGCCTCTGAATGTAGGGCAGTAAAAAAGGGGATGAAGAGAAATTGCATGTTTCTGAAAAACCATAATTTCAGACAAAAAGCGGATAGGTACTTAGTCCCTGGAAGCGAACAGAAAAGTTTAGGGGAAAATACTTAGAGAAGCCGCTTCCACATAGAGAAAGCTAATGAGAATAATAATGTTAATGAATGTTCTAGAAATAAAAATAATAAGAGGAACTTCTAAATCTTAATAAAAAATTAGGCCGTGAATTATAGTGTAGTCTCAAAAAAAAAACGGGTTTAGCAGTCCAGTGGGACTGCCGGTAGAAGTTATACTTCTATACACGCTTTCGCCGTTACAAATTTATATGGGAGTCAATCTGCATAATCATTACATATGTAATGCTATAGGTAAGAGGGAGCAGAAAGATAAAAAGAATTAGTTATATAGGTATATGGTGCATCGTGTGCTGTATATAAACATACATTTCACCTATAATAGAAGTATAGTAAATGAAGGATTGTATCAATATTTTAATGAAAATATATATTTTTATTTTCATATATGTATAAAAGAAGTTGAATGCAAAAATTTTTTTTTACACATACTCTGCAGTAAAATTCATTGTTTATTTTGTTATTAATATAAAAATTACAATACAATACACTGCAACATAATTCCATATAAAAATACAATATAAATTAAAATGTAATATTCATAAGTATTCAAAACTACCAATATACATAACTTACTTTACGAAGATAAAAATAAAGAACCAACAACTCGGAGTATGTTGTAAATTTTTATTTTATTTTAAAATTTAGCATTTTTGCGTATATTACATATATTTAATAAGATTAACGTGAGGTTTTTAAATATTTCAAAAATAAAAAAGAAAATTCATATTGGGATTCGAACTCACAAACACCAGCGTATGCACCAAACACGTAAAGGATTTGCCAATTAGACATGACACTAACGGATTTCAAAATTGACAGTTCTCTGTCAAACAGTGATAATTTTGAAATACAAAAACCTAAAATAATTATAAACGTTTAATAAATAATACAAAACATATCACATAAATAATAATATTAATATATATATATATATATATATATATATATATATATATATATATATATATATATATATATATATATATATATATATATATATATATATATATATATATATAATATTAAATATATATACAAAAGGAACATTTTTATTCTCGGGAGAGGAAGAGAGAGAAAATATATCTTCTGTATCTCTCTTACTCATTATCTTACATATAAAATTATGTAATGGTTTCACAGATTCACTCCCATGCAAATTTACAACGCCGACCGTGCGTATAGGAGTATAACTTTAAAAAAATGAAAATATAAATAGATACGAAAACCAAAGCTAGATCAATCAACAAAGGAGTTCGCCACGGAGATGTTATCTCA